CCTCGCAACACTGTCGCAAATCGATACGCCCCCCGACAACATTACACCACTCAAACACCCTGATCGGACACAACAACTCATGTCACGGCGGGGGAGTCAGGAAAACGACAAGCCCTGCTTGCAGTCTCACTCATTCATTGCTCTGGTTTTCACGGCGCGTCCACGCTCTTTGAAAAGGAATGATGCTTCCCCAAAACCCGCTCAGCCCCACCTCAAAACCCAAAACCCAACACCACACTCTCTCAGATCCTGTCAAAATCACCCGCAGGTGGTCCGAAAACGAGATCTGTGGCCACACACCCAATGCCTTACTCAACCCTACAACCCGTAACCCCAAGTCCAAAGTACTAAACCGTAAACCCCAAGCCCAAAGTCCCAAACCGTAAACCCTAAACCCTGAACCCAAAGCCCTGAACCCTGAAATCCCCCAGGCCAACGAACGAAGGGCGCCTTGCCGCCGCAGCCGTGCCGAGAAGCGTGCCGCCTGGCAAGGTTTGGGGCTCTGTTTGGCTGTTTAAAGTTTAGGGTTTAGGGTTTAGGGTTTAAAGTAATCTTGTATAATGATGAAAATATGCAATAATGTATTACAACATCATGTAATGCAATCTAGCAGAAATCTTGTGAAAATGACATTGTGCTATATCTTTGTTATATGATATAGTCGAACCGAGTCGAATAGAATAGAATCGAATGGAACGGAACAGACTAGAACAGAAAAGAATAGAATAGAACAGTACAGAATAGAACAGAAATATAAAAGAATTAGGGACAGAATTAGAAATAGAAATAGAACTGGAAATACAAATAGAATTAGACTTAGAATAATCATTAGAACTCGCATTTGCGTTGGAATTAGCATTAGAATAGCATAGCAGGGCATAGAAAGAAAAGTATAGAATAGAATGGACCAGATTAGAATAGAATCGAATAGAAGAGAACAGAATAGACTAGACTAGACTTGACTAGACTAGAACAGAATAGAATAGGAATAGAAAAACAATCGGAATTTAACTAGAACTCGAGTTAGAATTAGAGTTAGAGTTAGAATAAGTATAGACTGTACTAGACTAGACTAGACTGGACTTGAATAGAATAAAACAGTATAGATGAATAGCATAGGATAGCATAGAATAGAGCAGAATAGAACAGACCAGAATAAAATAGCCCAGAAGGCAATCCAATGTAAGATATGTCATGTGATATCATATCCTGTAATGTAATTCAATGTGATCTAATATGATACAGTATAACATGTGATGATATCATACCTTATAACATACTATAGTACGCAATGATGCACTACACTATGCCACAATGAACGAAAAGTATATACCGTCATTGTTGCTAATGGTGGTTTGGAAATTAGGCCAGGTTAACGGTTAACGATTTGGGACTGGAGCTTTACAGTGGACAGGAAACAAGTCTTGTCGGCAAAAACGTCTTGGAGAATCTGCGGCCTGGGGCATTTCGGAAGCTTTTGCCGAGGCCCTTTCATCACAGACCCTTGTACGGACAATCACACACTCTTTGATTTTATCCACTGACACCAAGCCCACACTTTTGCATCCATCTCGATGCATCCTCCTAGCTTGAAAGCTGGATGGATTATGTCTTTAAACGGAGAATCCGATGCAGCCCACTACAACGCCGACAGCCACGTCTGTGGATTGTAGATTGACGACGGCCGGTTTAATATCTTCTGGTTCGAGCTGCATTGTTTGAGGCTTGATGTCTAAGACCAGACGGGGGACTCAGGCCGGAGGTCGCAATCATTGAGAAACCCCCTGCAAAACCCACAGGCCAGCTGTGGAGGCCTGCTCGAAAATTTCGGCGGCGGTCAAGTGGCGCCTGTAGGAGGTTCTCTCATGTTCATGCTGCTTGGAACCTTCACAGGTCATCTTACAAGTAGACAGCAATGGTTTGCTGCAGCTTGTACATTGAATCTATGCGGAACTTCAAGGAGTGATACAGCAGAATGCTCAAACTTGTTAAGGCTTTTGATCACGCGCTCCAGGGCCCTCGGGGCGTCGGTGCAATGTGGGGCTGAAGTGGTGGGTTCACAGGCTGTGGTGGTGTGCAATGCTTTTATCTTTGCCTGCTGGACCTTAAGCGCTAGATCCTAAAGCTTCCAAACCCTGAAACTTAAACCTGAAACACTTAAGCCCTAGATGATGAAACTTCTGCTATCGCAAGCAAGGCCGAGGCGCTTGAAACCCATCTGCCCCGTCGCACAGAAAACGCAGCCCATCGCGCAGCCAACCTGTGGAGCAGGGTGTAGCGATTACTTGAGCAATGATAGCAATACGTTTAATGCTCGCGACAGGAATGGTGCGTTCTAGCTTTGATGTCGTAGCGATTATTGGTTAATACACAATAGCTCATAACGGCAGGGTAACTGTCAAAAGATCAATAATCACCACCACGAAACATGTAAAGCTGCTGGTGATAAGCTGTACAGGCATGAAGACCATCGCCAATTCCCACGAGAAACAAACCGAAACTCCCCAAACCCTACATTACCACTTTTCGGCGTGAACTTGAAAGCCCGACTTGGCTTCGGATCTTTGTGTCGCTGTGCGACCTAAAGCATCTAGCGTGCTAGGGTGCGGTGTTTGGGGTTTCCGTGTTTTTAGCTAAGGCCGAGGGCCTTAGGTTGCCTGCTTCGGGCTCAAAGCTTGGAGTTGGTTAAGGGTTGAGGCTTAGGGACCCCTAAACCCTAAAACCCTAAAACCCTAAACCCCTAAAGGCTGCAGAAAAAGGCTTTCCTGCCAAGGCCTGGCTGGAGATGCAGGCTGTTCTCCGGCCGTCCTGGCGTAAGAAGCCCTGGCTCCATGTCCTCCGGCCTGAGCACTAAGCCCTCCGTAAGCCGCGCAGCCTCAACACCGCCCTTCACCCTGAAAGCCCAAAGTGGAGACCTGACCCCTCCACTGAAACCTCGGATTTGAGGGTATGGGGCTACCGCCCAGGCCTACTGGAGCTGTCAGTCCGAAGGCTGTATCAGATTTTCCGTCTCTGTCCCCGGAAGGTGGCGAAAGCTCCTGATAGGGCATGAGCACGGACTCAATCGCATGGCCTTCGGGTAGCCGGTATGCGACCTGCACGCAATGCGTGGGATGTTGGTGATGCACCTTCGGATGAACCAGTAAACTCTAAACTCTGCCTGGTACATGCTTCTGAACTCTCACAGCATAAACCGTAACCCCAAACCGATAGCGCTCCAGGATTTATAAGCCCTGGACTCCTGCACGATGATAAGAATACTAATGACCATCATCATCAGCACCATCATCACCATCAGTACTTCCAAATCCACTTTGCCATTCAAACCCTCATCCTCAGCACCAGGATCATCTGATACTCAGAACCTGGTTCAGAACCATTACACAACGGTGAACGCAAACACACATACACTATCGCTAGGATCTTGTGGACAGAAGCTACTCAGGGCTGAGGAGAGCATCAAAAACGTAAGTCCCTGAGCCGAAACGATGCACCCAAGCCGGAACCCCGCGGAGCGACGACCCCTGTAGACCCTCTGAGCCACAAGTGCATGAACAGGCAAGCCTTCACGGTGCCGTCGTTCGACTCCTGGAATTCCAGACTATTGGGCACAATCACGACAAAGAATCCACGGCCCTGTCTCGACGATTAATGCACTTAGACAGCCTTCCTGTCACATGAGAAGACGGCTAAGGCTAAGGTGCCTACTATCCGATCCCGTGCCCGCCAAAGCAAGTAGAAGTAGCCTACCTTGAAGCAAAACCTGTGACATGCGCGATGCCCTACCTTCGCTAATGCCCCGTGACCGTAATCCGTAACCCGCAAGCTTCGAAGCTTGCCACTGCTGAGACCCCACGTTCCTGCTCAGCAAGAATCTTCCAGTCAGCCGCACCTGGTCAAGTGTCTGAGCTTGTTGGTGGAAGCTCTTTCGGGTGAGGTCGCACTACATGGGTGGTTTCCAAGTACTTCGCACACTTGTATGTGGTCCTGAAGTCTGGCAGTGACTGCGGCTTTCTACAGACTTGGGGCTCTGGAACTGCGTGTTGAAGCACGAAAGGCTCAACAGAACTTCAGTATAAACATCTGAAGAACTCTGTGAATTGAAATCCGTAGAGAAGCCCTTTTATCGTACAATTTGTAGAAACGCGCCTGCAACCCCTGACAGAAACCCTACAACCCGAGGAGCCCATGGGCTGCCGAAGCTGCGCGCCTGCCGTCGCCAGCTTCGCCAGGGAGTGTCGGAGGCCTGGGCAACGTGGGAGGGAGTTCGGTTTGGGGATTACGGTTCGGGGTTTAGGGCTGGCCCTCCCCTAGGCTATCGCGGAACTCCAACTGGCCCATGTCGAACTGCAGCACATGAAATTGCATCGAAACCGGGAAGCCGCATACGCCCAGAGCCCGAACTGCTAAACTAGCGTCGGAAACACTCATCTGAACGTCCTAATGGAGGGCCTCTTTGTTGTCTCGCAACGATGTTTGGGGGAGACGAACCTTCCTGTCTTCCTTTCTGCTCTGCGGAAACACCCAAATTTACCCGGGAACGCTCCGAGGCGCCAAGGGCGATGTTTTTCATCTCCAAGAAGTCCTCTACGGCTTGGCAAAGACAAAAAGGGCTTCAGGATTATGGCTTTGCGGTTCAGGACACGAGTTCGCTAAATGTTAGGATGAGGGTAGGGAACCTTGTCGCGGTCGTCTTGTCATCTCAACATTTTGAGCCGCCCGTCCCCACAAGGGCCTAAATCTGAACCCTCACCTCGCCGGCAGCCACGGGGTCAGGGTTTGGGACGTTCTTGCTCAAGGATCCTAGCACTAGGGTTTGGGCTGGGGTTAGGGCTTGGGGGCAGGGGTTTAGGCCCTCGGGATGCCTGGGGATTACTTTAAAAAGCTGGAAAGCTCGTGGAGGGAGTGTCTCGGCTTAGGGTTCTGAGGTTTCGGATGTCGGGATTGTCGCCGCAACGTAACTTGGGAGTTCCTGTTACCATAAACTTTCAGTCCTGGACTCCCTTTTCGTAGATCCACTGCCGCAGCTGCTTGGTGACCTGCACAAGGCTGGGCTTCTGACCGAGGGGCTACTAAAATTTAGCTCTTTTCAAAAGGGACCTGCAGGGTTCGACAGGGGACTGCACCCTCTTGAAGAAGGGCTGAACTCTGGGCTTCAGAGTAAATCCCAGGACCAAAAGCAGAAACCTGCAAAAGCCCTCTTCGACCCCAGGCAGGGCGCCCTTGGCTGGGAATTTCAGGGTTCACGGCTTTTTGGGTTTGCTCTGAGCATCTTCAAGTCATCGTCTTCTTGGTTTCCCCGACTTGTCTGTGGTCCCACGCTCCCACGACGACTCGAAGTCTCATAGCTTAGACCCTCCCTCTCCACTCAACACCAACACATGAACAGCCCAACCTTCAACCTCAGACCCAAATCCCGAATTGCGTCAAGGCTGAAGAAGTGAATCCCTAAACTAAACCCGATTTTCCTACCCCTCGGTGACCCCAACACCGCGAACCTTCTTCTCCAAGCCGAGCTCCCGGATGACGTAGTAATCGAAATCGTAGGGCTCCAGCCTTAGAGTTCAGGGCTCATAGGGTTCGCGGCTCGTGCTTCGGGCCCAGGGGCCTCATATGCGAGCCCGCATGCCCAAGCAAACCTGCGGCCGTGGCGCTGGTAGAGGTTCATCTTCGGCAGGCCTTTAGCGGCCATGGCCTCCAGATTCACGGGCCGAACTGGCGGCTCCAGCTCGATCCTCCTCTGCTGCTGGGAAGGCTGCCTCTCCGGCCTGCTCTGACCCCTGCGAGGCGCCTCTCGCCGGCCGCGAGGAGGCAACGGAGTGTTCTCTCTGGGCGCTCCCCCCGGCCCGCTGGGCCGAAAGACCGGGGGCCTCCAAGGCTCCCTGCGGGGCGGCACTTCAGCGCGCGCCCGCGGTGCCTGCACGGCAGAAGCCGAGGACCCGTCCTCCATGTAGCGCGTGCGGGCGCGGCGTCGCAGCGGCCGCTGGCGACGCCGTGGCCTGCGTTCGTCGGATTCATCGTCCTCGAACTCGTCGGGCACAGCGCTGACGTCGTTTGGCTCGAGCCATTCGTCATCCAGGGGCTCTTCGGGTTTGTATTCCCCCTGCTTCTTCCCGATATTCGGATCCTGCCAGTTGATGTTGTACTGGCCTTCGTCACCTCAGGGAATGGCAACTAGGGCAAGGCTCAGAACTTCTTGTTCGGGAGCCGTTGTTTGCACCACACCACAATCTCACTGCATGTTGCCCGGGCATCTTAGAGACTGCTTCGGAGAATCAACAAACGCTGCCTGCGGGAAGTTGAGTGCAGTCAACGGAACACATGCTTCGCCTGACCCTAGCAGGTCCCAGTCCCGCTAGAGAAACTTCCGGGTGAACATCGTTGCAACTTGAGGCCGGGCTTACGCATCAGGATCAGGGAACCGAGGGAACCTCCCATCCTGAAGCCCCTTTGCAAACTTTCTGGCGAAGTTCCATGATGCTTGCAGATAGACCCTTTGTGGCGTATGTGACTTGTTGACATGCTGCTCGCGAACCATTCGGCTGAGCTTGCAAAGATCTGTACCGTTGAAGGGGTTCAGGGTTTGCTTGCTTCTTGGTTTAGCACGTGAAGCCAAGACTTTCCACTTTCGATGTACCCAAGGCTTGAACCCCAAAGCCTTCTGAGCCCCAAACCTTGAGAGCCTCTGAGCCCTCGCGCGCGAGTCTTCAAGTCTGAGGGCCTTAGAAGTTCATCCTTCCCCACCTTGCCACTCTCCGCGGCCGTCGCCGACCTTCTCTGGGCCATCCTGGCAGGACAGGGCCCCGCGGCCTTTAACGGCGGTGTCCGACGAATGTAGAAGGTGTAGGCTTTCGACGTGGGCTTCCGGGCTTGGGTCTGAAGTGCAGATTTGAGAGCAGGTTCCGTTTGCTTTCGGGAGGTGTCAGCTGCCAAAACTCCAAAGCCTGCAACCCGAAAACCCAAACCCAGGGACCTCAAGCCCTGATAAACCTAAACCTTAAATTCTCAAATCCCGACTCCTCGAAGCGGGAGGGCCGGAGTGGCCGACGGAAGAAGTTCTGCTGCCTTGGCTCTTGGGCTTTTGGGTTCAAGAGGTCAAGGTTTTAGGGCCGGGTTCAAGGTTTAAAAGTTTAAAGTAGGGTTTAGGGTTTAGGGCCATTTAGCTTCAGAGTTTCGGGCTTAGACGGTTCAAGGGGCAACGATCCAAATCCGGAAACCTCAAACCGTACCCTAGAACCTTCAACTGCCCTTTACACCCTGAAACCACAAGCACTGAATGCCCTAAGGTTACAGCCCTGGAAGCCTAAAGCCTGAACCTTAAAGCCCCAACTAAAAACGTAAAACCCTCCAAAATCCCCTCCAAGCCTTGGATCCGAACGCCAAGGTGCTTTTGCCTCGGCTTGAACGCCTGTAGACCTGCCAGGCTTTGATTTCAGCCAATGCTCACATAGTTCGAGTGCCCTCTCGTTTTCGGCCCCGGCGTTATCCATGCCCGCTTGTTGGTTCAGGGTTTTGGGGCATCGCGCTCCATGAACCCCTCCAAAAGCGGCGGCGATCCTGTACGTCCCTGTCGATGCTCTTCCCGGCCAAGAGCGCAGAAAGCCACGAAGGCATTGACAGCGACGCAGAGGCCGAAGCCCAAAACCTGGGGTTCGTGCTGAACAGGGACCCCCCAACAGGCTCATCACTCTAGACCTTGGTGACCGGGTATACCACAGTAAGGACCTCCAGCAATCTAGAATGTAGACGGTTAAGTGTACTCCGGATGAGGGCTTCGCATCTAGGCCTCTCTGGTTGTCGCATCAAGGTCCTGTGGCTTTGAGGCTTTAGGGCCAGGGCGAATGGTTGTTGGGGAATTGTTGGCATCATTGAAGCTCACGGGAGTGTCGGGGATTTGGGGTGCAAGGTTGCAGCCTTCAAAACGGAAGGTAGGGTGTAGAGCAGACTCCTCCCCTTCTTCACTTCCCTTTTTCAAAGGGCGGAATACTCGGATTCGGGAGAGTCTCGAATTCAGGTTTCCAGGTCCGCAACTCTGCTTGGTCCCGACTTTACATCGGTCTACCGCGATACACACTCGTCCTTGCACTTTTCGCGGGATTCACCGAATCTCTGCTAGACTTAAACTTCCACCCTCAGCAACTTGGGGTTGGGCTCAGCTAGGTGGACTTTCCGGGGTCCGACATCACGACCATGACTACTCGGCTTTGTGCTTTCCACCACCCCTTGCATGCAGTCGTTTTGTGCAAGAGCTATACACAAGCTGCAGCTGATGCCGAGTCTTATAGTAAAGAGAGCATGAATGACGACTACCAGTACGGCGACGAGAATAAGAAAGAGGACGAGGACGAGGACGACGACAACGAAGAGGAAAAGGACGGCGACGAGGACGCAATTGGCCGCCCAGGTGGCCGCTGCGGAGACCAGGCGGAACTGCAGCAGGGGTTTCAGGGGCTGAGGGCACCACTGGCTTCGCCCTGAACCAAACCCCGCAATCCTATCCACTGCCAAGCCCCCAAGCCAAGGTTGGCTGAACATGCAGGGCTCAGAGTTGGCACCAAGAGTGCCAACAGCAGCTTTAGCACTAATTGTGGCAGTCTGACATGACAAGAACAGAAGCAACATCAGAAGAAAGAGCAACCACGGCATTCACGGTAGTACATGTAGAGGCGATAGCCGGAGTAGTCGTCGTCATCCTCATCTTCGTCACAGGCATCGCTGCCATCGTCGTGGTGGTTGTGGTGGCAGCAGCAGCAGCAGCAGCAGCAGCAGCAGCAGCAGTGGTAGTGGTAGTGGTGGTGGTGGTGGTAGTGGTAGTGGTAGTGGTAGTGGTAGTAGGTAGTAGGTAGTAGGTAGTAGGTAGTAGG